AAAATGGGCTGTTTTTTGCTCAATTTTGCCTACCCCCAGAAGCACTCTATAAGCCTCCTAAAGGCTATTCATCCCCCCCCTTTAAAAAAAAAAACAAAAATGGGCCCGTTTTCGTGAAAAACGAGCCATTTTTAGGAGGTCTGTAAAGTGCAAAATCTTTTTTTCAAAATTCACCTCCTCAAAATCTTGGTGTGTCTTATACTCCGGTGTGTCTTACTCTGAAAAATACATTACTTACATTGTAATTTATTACACTAAATTATAATTCTTCTTTTAATTAACTGGTGTGTTTGGTTTTTGGTATGTGGCAATGAAAATGAGTGCAGATATAAGAAAAAAATATGTGAATCACAAGAGAGAAAGGGAATGATCATAAACATATGAAGAAATACATGGATTTCTGAAATGGCATATTCCCCCCCCCCCCCTTGGTGCCTGGGAGACTTCTGATCTAAGGGTGTCACAAAAAGACCATTCTTGATTTCTTTCAGTTCTGTTAATGTGTTTTCTAAGCCTAATTTTCTCTTCTCCTGCTTTGATCCAAGAGTGAATCAATTCCTTTTACTTAAAAAAGGTGTGAGAAAACATTGCCTCTGGGTATATATTTCTTTGAGGCATTTCTTCTTTTCACCATTTTTTTTTTCAAATTCTCCCTCCCCTGTTCACCATGAGTTTGTTTTAAATCAGGAGTAAGTAACCTGAATCCAAAGGTATTCCGTGGCCACTAGAACACCACTGGTGGAATTTTCATTGGTGCCTTCTTTCTATCTGTAGGCAAAAAAGGATGGAATGGTTGCTATAGTGGCATCCATTTCTACATTTAGCTCCCTAGTCCTCAAAATTCATAAAAAAGAGAGCAATGTTTTTATTCCTGCCACTCTAGTGATGTTACTCTATCCCCAGATATGTCCTGCAATTTCCCAGTGGGTGCTTTAGGACCAATCAGAACCATGCAGTAGTTCGGATCATTTTACATTTGGTTTGATATAATTACATCTTCTGAAAAATGGTTTTTTGGGCTAGAACATGGCCCTTGACTGTGTTTTTAGCTCCCAGTAAAAAAAAAAAAGGTAAGATCAAGAGTGATGTGATAGTAGGAGAGATATATACAAAGTTATCATTTTAAACTTTTTTTTTTACAGTTTGAATCTCATTGATTCAAGAAGTTGTAGATTTCAAAAGAAAGTATGAAAAGTCAAGATTGAATGCTGTTCATTATGTTTTGGTTTGAATTAATGGTAGAGATATGGTGATTTTAACAAAAGGGAAATTAAATATTGTTTATAGACAAATACCCTTTCTCTTTTTGCCATCCAACTTTAATTTTTCAGATGGCAAATTTGGCGAATACATGCAGGTACATATTCAGAACGATGGACCTGTGACCATTGAACTGGAGTCTCCTACAGCCCCTGTTGACTCTAAACAAGTATGTTGTAGTAGTGCTTTTCTTTACCTACCTATTTTGAGATAGTCCATATGTTGATATTAAAAGCCTTAATTATGTTCTGTGGGCCTCATTTTTATATTTTGACCTGAGAATAGCTAATCCTCTTCTGGTCAATAATTATTTTAAAAAGAAGTGAGGTTTCTCTTTTGAGAATTATGAAAATATCACTGCAACAACAACCATGGAAGAATGATAAACTAGGGCTGTGATACTTTTGGATCATTGTTGCTGTTGCCTATTTTTCAGCTGAGGTTTTACATGTTGCTAAATCATTGTTACAAAATCTTGAGTTTATTTTATTATTATGTTTATGACTTAAGTTACTTAGAGGGTTTGATAGTTTTATATATTGGTCAATAAACTTGATGCATTTTACTGACACTAGATTGTAAGAGAGGATAACTACAAAAATGTATGCTGACAGAAGTCTGTTTGAATGGAAACGAGGTAGTCATTCCTGTTTAATTTAAGCTAACGGGAAATGTTAGATCTAATATATAAATGGATCCAGTAGATTTGTGGTATTTGTGGTAGAATAAATCATATTTTATGTTCTGTGAAAAATTATTTCCATCAGGAATTTATTGTTTGCTTCTGTGCTTTCTTTCAAGTCTTCTGCTTATCTGGCCCTTATTTGTCTTATTGGTGGCTCTTTCTGCTCAAATAGATAACAGAGCAACGTTTTCAATGAATTGCATTGCCATTGTATGTATTAATTTTAGATACCACAGATTCATGTAATAATATAGTATTAACTGAGACATATCATTTCTAAGAGTAGATGGTTAGCAGTGGTTCACTGACATCCACTTAGAGTTGTGCTGATACTAGTTTTTATTTGTGTGCATATTAATATGTAAGAAATATTGACAAATAAAAACCTGATCAAAGTATTAAAAATAGATAATTAAAATACCGCTTTAGTTATACTATAAACTGCATTTGTTATTCTGCATGAACTTGCTGCTGCAAAAATATTTTTAATTAGATGTGATGCTTACATTCTAGTTTGTTGTATTTTGAGTTAAGAAAAGGACATGTAATCACACAACCCAAACAAATATATTGACCCTGATTGCTATTCTTTCCTCTAATATGAAGTCATGTCAGGACTTACACATCTGAAGTTCTAACCATATAATCTGTACAATATTGTCAGCTTGGGTTGGATTTCAAACTGTTCTAGTCTGTTGAATCCATTGAAACCCGTATTCGATATAGTTGAATTATAAATAAGGAAATATTGAAATTTTATATTTACCTTGTTATTGGTCCTTAATCTACACTTTCTAGGAGCAGTTTATTCCCATGAAGAAACCTTCCAAAATGCTTGCTATTGTTATTTAATCAATTTCTTTCTAAATAAAAGCATTGAAAGAAAACAATAGCCTCAAATTGTTTGCTTCTTCTCAAGCTGCTTTCTTAAATAGAAGCTTTCAAAGAAAATAATAATAAAACATCCTCTAGTTTTTTGGCTAGATCTTGGTATTTAGGATCTGTAAAGAGTTGGAGAAATAGCATCAGTGATATGTGAGGAGCTGTTATACTTCAAGAAAATTACTACACTTACTAGAAAGATTCTCTTTTAATGCTATTACTAGAAAAAAAAGAAATTCGTTTTAATATTTAATGTTTATTCTGCAGTGTAACTATTGTGCAAATCTCATATGTTTGTATTGTTTGTTGGAAACCAGGCTGTGCTATTAGATTGACATTTTGAGATATGCCGTGACAAAGTAGAATTACCAAGGAGTCTGTTCTGGAAATGTTGTTGATATATGTAAATGTTCTAATAACAGTCTTGTAATGATGAGTATATATTGCCAGCATTCTATCTAAAGATTTTCATTACTGATCACAGAATGATCTTAATTATAGGAAATCATTAAGTGAGGATCTGTCACTTGCATATTTTTTGACATGTTAGGGGTTCTGAATAATATTAGCTTCCTGTCAGTTTATTTGAACTTTTTCCTGGAGTGTTTTAAATATGTGGAACTTACATTGATTCAATTTAAAGTAGCTTGTCTGGTCAACTCTGGTTTCTTTTTTCCATATCAAACATATCTGGTGATTTACATATCATCAAAATGATTTTAGTGGCAAATCTTTACCTATTTAGAGATAACGTCCTATCCTAAACTATTACTACACTATAAAACAGTGAGATAGATAGATCAATGAGTAGCAAACTCGTATGCCAATTCTTCTATATATTTTGTCTGCTCACACCATTTCAAGGTCTAATAAACATCACCCACCAAATCAAGGTACTTATATTTTTGCTCACTATCAATGGCATATGAGATCTGTTTCAATTCCCCACAATATTCTATGCTGAACAAAATAGCCAATCTTTGTGCAACAGGGTCAATGGACTCAATTGACATAAAAATGGCAATTCCTAAATATTCTTGGAAAACATACTCATTTCATGGGACATTCTTTCTTTGACCACAAAGTGGCGATATATAAGAAAAGTGCCTGAAGCAACACAGGTGAAATTTGTTAGAATAATTTCAATAGCCTTTTTCATGGCATTACTTCTTATCAAACAAGGTATGTTAACTATTCACTTCAAGAATGTCTGCATCATGTCTACCTCTTGTTTTATGCAATTCTACCCTGCACTTTCTCTTTATGATTTCCTCCTCCCCCACTTTCTCCCATCAAATTGCATTTATTGCAATAGACGGACACAGCTACTCCCTTAGAAGTAAGTTTTTAAAAAAAATTATGGATACTATCTCCAGTCTCCAAAATATTTGTAGTTCTCTGCCTTCAGCCTTTTTCATAAACATTCTGCTATATTTCCCCGACTCCCATATGTTTGTGCATGCAAANTTGGGTATGTCTAGTTTAATAAAAGGAACTACAGGTGACATGATAGCAGTGTTCTAATATCTAAGTGGCTGCCACAAAGAAGAGGGAGTCAACCTCTTCTCTAAAACACCTGAAGGCAGGACAAGAAGCAAAGGATGGAAATGAATGAAGGAGCATACCAAAGAGAAATGTCGACTCGAGAAGTACCTGGAAGAAAAAGTGCAATTTGTTTGACTGGTGCAACTTTTGGAAAAAAAAAAAAAAGTCCTGCCTTTTCTAGTATTGATGCTGAAGAAAGGATTTAAAAGAAACCGAAACTCAGATTTGAATTGCTACATCCTCAGCTTCGTGGAAAACAGGCGCGCTCAGAGGCTACGTTAAACATCGGCAACTATTAGTTAACCTTGGCCGGTTCCCAAATCTAATACAAGGTTGAATCGGAAAAAGTTATATAGAAAAGAGACCGCCGGCCCGGGTGAGGAATACATTACGAAGTCGAAAAGGGATCTCGGCCATCAGCATTTCCCTTTGGCTGCCGGGAAAACTTGATTCGGGAAACGTTACTTTTTATGAGAAGCTTTATTACATTCAGGGGATATAGTGGGGGACGCGGTAAATTTTCAGGGAACTCAGAATCGTGGGACACACCCACTTCTAGAAATTATATATCCACAGCTCAGTGTGGGAAGGGCAGGAAAACTCTGTTGCTTTGCTTCCGGTCCAGACCGGAAGTTGTGCTTTCCCGCTCCGGATCCCTCTAAGCCCGGCGTGATGAAGGCCATCATCCAACGTGTCACTCAAGCCAGTGTGTCAGGTGCGCGGGGGCCGTTTGTGTTCCGATTCCGTTTTCTGTCAGCTGCCCATCGGCGCGGTGGTTTAGAGGCCGTGTCTTCAGCTCTGGCTTGCCGGCGGGGCTTCCCCGTGGCCGAGCTAAACCCCACCATTTTCACCGCTTCCCACCGCGAGTTCCTTCAAAACCCACCCACAGCCTGGTTGCTATTATAAAGGGTCTTGTGTTCTGTTAAGCCCTGGCTTGGCTTGACGACGACATTGCAGCGAATCCCAATTCTTTGTGGCATGTCCATATGGATCATGTATTTGTCCACATCCTTCCTTTATCTTTGAAGCAACTTTTAAGTGTGAAACAAAAAGGAAGTGTGAATAGAAGCCCTAAATTGTTGATTCGTTATCCTGTTACACAATACGTACTCTATAGAGAATGGTAATTTGTGAGGATCAGCAGTATTCTGTGTTTTATGCAGCCAGTAAAAAGATAAATATACAAACAAAATTTGAAGTGCTATATATATAACTAGAACCAAAGAGACCGATGTCACAGGGATAAGATATTTTGTTTTTGATACCTTTCTGGAAGGCAAAAAGAGTGGAAGCAATTCTCACTTCTGCTGGTAGAGTGTTCCACAGGGTGGGGCCACAGTGGAAAAGGCCCTTCTCCTTGACCACATCAATCAGAATTCTTTAGAAGGGAAGGGGTCTGCAGTCAGCCCAGTGCACAAGGGTTAGTGGGGCAAGCTACATAGCATTCAAAAGAGAAAACCAACAAGCCAAAAAGAGCCTTTTCCCGCTTAGCTCCCATTAATGTTGGCTGATAATTTCAAAACCAGAAGAATGAAATTTTCCTAAATAAGCTTAAATTTTGAGATTTTCTTTGGAATTTGTTGACCTCTTTTGGTTCAAAGGGAGCAGATGAAATAATTGGGGGGGGGGGAGTAGGTTAATAAAAAGTTACTAAATAGCAAATGTAAAATTCCATTTTGCAGAGGTCGCCTGCCCCCCGCCTGGATTCCACCATTATTCCTTGCTAATAGAGGGGAAGATTGGTTAAAATCTGACTATATTGTATGTATCAAAACAGTGTGGGTTTCTCATTCTTCCTAAGCTCGGTGCTGTAGTATTAAAGGATGGATATTTGAAAATACCTTATGAACAACAATTCTGCCACTGCAGCAATAATAGAGCTGAGACAGTAGAACACTTTTTCTATATAAAGTCTATAAATTGTGTAAACAATTATACCCTGCTTCCATTATGCCTATCAAAAGGCAGGGGACAGGAGACAGGAGATTAATTCTTCTTTTTAAAAATCTTTTAATAAACTAGTTTTTGTTCTCACAACCAGACTGGTTAAATTGTGCATGGTTTACAATTCTTGAACAAAACATCTGGATTTATTTAAATTGTCTGTATTTCCTAATCATATGAAATATTTTAGTTTGTGTGGTCAGGTTTAGAAGTGTAAATGTGTAAAATTCCTATTGAAGAGGTTTACTGGTAAGATAGAATTTTGTCTGAAGGAAGATTCCTTTTAGGTATTGCAATTAGGTATTTAGTTATTAAAATATTGATATCCTATGATATGTAAATTTGTTGTATGAGCANGATAGAAATGAACGTTTGCTTTTCTTCTGGAGTTCTTTTATGTGTAGTAAGCCTTTGCAAATTCATTTCACTTTTTTACTCTGCAAAATGTATGCAAATCATATGACTGAAAATCAATTATTTGTTTAATAATATTACTGTCCAAATGACATTTTATAAGGGCAGCAAGAATTGGTGGAGAATTTCTGTGATATGGTGTTATGGTAGCCATTACCAGGCATAACATCATAAAACTGATGGAAGGTGGAATTTACAGCTTCTGGGTATTAGCATAGGTACTTGCAGTCTCCTTAGTTCCTCCTCAATTGCTTGTCTTTTCTGGAATTGCCAGTATTGCAACTCTACCATCTCTCCCCCCGCCCCTTTGAGGTATTGTGGATGGTGTGTGTAGGTGTTCAGTGGTCCTGGCTGGTTTGGTAGCAGCCAGTCATGTTGGAACCAGTGAACTAGAGGTAGCCGAGTGGGTGAAGTGGGTAGTGGCCTCTCATATTTCAGAGGCTGACCATTAAACAGGCACCAGGCAGCAAAGCTGAGTGGTGCTATGGATTAACTGCCTTTGCTTTAGCTGATGAGCAGCAAAAAATGAACTCTGGAGGACTTGGCTCCTGTCTTCCTTGAGTCTGCCACCTTAGAGACCATAAGACAGAGTAAGCTGACAGAGGTCGAAGAAGCGTTGGTGGCTGTGGGATCCTGATTGTTGGAATCTCCAGTGGAGTGGTGGGCTCAGATGTACAGATGGTTTGTGGCAGACGGGGTAGGAGTAAGGTTGCAAACCTGTGGGGAAGCTCTATTGTGACTTGTTACTGTTTAAGGAGCCCTTAAAGCATCCATTTTGCCTGTCTGTGAAGATTTGGGATTGAAGTTGATGGTGCCTGGATTTAAGACATTGTGTGGATCAAGAATTTTATATAGTTTGATAGTTGATGTGCAGGCTAGGTGTATCTGGGTTCTTTTGTTCCCCTCATATGAGAGAAGGGTGGGCTGGGAGTGCTGCCACCCAGTCCCTTTGGTGGTGGTGGGGGTTTACTTCTCCACTGCCTGGGTGAGGGATGGTTGGGCTGGGAGGGTAAGAGAAAATGTTTTGGGTGCAGGGAGCTTGAGAATTTGGAAGGAAGGTTTGGATGGGGGCCCTGCTGAGGTGGAGGCTCTTAAGTGAGGCTCTTAAGTGTATACAGAACTGCCAGAGCATGCACAGAATCTGTCTGTCTAGATCAGTGTTTCCCAAACTTTTGACATATGTGTACCCCTTCTATAATTTTNGGTATCTGATTGAGGATCAGATATTTTGCAGATTACACCAATCAGAAGAGGATTGGTGTAATCTGCAAAAACTTCCTGTTCTTTAGTGTTTGTCTTGTTTTGCTGCAAAAGATTAACATAGTTTTTTGAAAACTAAGATACTGTCTGTGTTGTTGCACTACTTCTGTTTACATTCATTCACAATTGTGCTTTCCCATCTTTTCTTTGCAACAGTTAGCAAAACTTGAGAAACAACAACAGAGGAAAGAGAAAACCAGAATGAAAGTCCCTTCTGAATCAAGCAGAGAACGAAATCTTCCTAAAAGTAAAAATGATCCAAGTGCAAGCAGTGGGGCTGAAGGAGATGTTTCTTCTGAAAGGGAACCCTAACGTCTCAAAGCCCTTTCAGGTATGAACTTTCTGCCTCTGCTCTTGTTGAAAAGATTCTTTCCTGCCATTTTAAGTCTTGTGTAAATTATTTATTAATTGCTTTTCAATCCTATAAGTATGTCCTTTTTCAATAATTAAAGCTGCTTCCACTTCATTTCATATAGCCCTGTTTTATTTTCTTTGTACAGTTTCCTCTTTTCGTTTCAATTTTTAGTGATTTTTTTTTCACTTCCCCCCTCTGCCTGGGGCGGTTATACCTTCTCTGATAAATAATTAGAAATTTCCTTTATTCTCAGAACATTCTGGACTATGGCCATAGCTATTATGTATTCCAATCTCTTAATCACAGAGAGAGATTTAAGGAACATTTTTTTTAAATATCTTATATATTTAGGCTATATTTCTCCACTTGATTGTAAACTTTTAATGGCATTTTTTGTGATTTGGCATACACCAATTTTTCATGCCATATGTTAATTAAAATCTGCCAAATAAGACTTATGTCCAGATCTAAAAGGTTAAAGGAGCTTTATTCTCCTATGTTAGCATAGGGAAAAATAATAATGGAATGCATAATGGAATGGAATTTACTTGGAAACTGAGGGAGGGAGGGGGAAGCAAGAAAGGAAGGGAGAAAAAGTATGTTACTTTTAATTGACTGTATGCATAATTAGTGAAGGGATGTATTTTAAAATTTTATTGTAATCTGAAGAGCAATTGCATGATCTAGGATGGGATATAGGGTATCATAAAAATGAGGAAGGAAGTAGGACTAGTCAAAGGTGATATGTCATTTAGTTGAGGAAAAATCTTATAAAACAAGATTACATTTACACTGGAAAAAATGGTCATTAGTTTCTCTTTTCCCCTCCTTCTCTCTTGAAGTTGTACATGGCTCAACTTTAGAAAAAAATCACAATTATGGAGTAGATTTTTTTCTATCTTTTTCTATCTTGAAATAATATTCCTTCTTTTATAACTGCTATGTACTGCTCAGTTGATTAGAGCAACTTATAAGTTCTGTAAACAAACAAAATAAAAACAAGTAAAACAAACAAACAAGTGAAATCTACTATAATTAAAACATTTCTTTTATCATTTGTGGAATATTATATTTCACCTCGCATACTGCAGATGAAACTTCCAGACAGCTTCGAATAAAAAAAAGTAAAAATAGTTTCAAGTGATTAAGAACAATGAAAGCAAATAAATAATTAAAATGGATAGCTAGAAGCCTGTATATGGTTTTTTTTTATAATTAAGGTGATAAAAATGTTAACTTCTGCTGGGAACTCCTTTCAGATTTTGGGCCACAATACAGACGACTTGATCCTGGATTGCCCTTAGATGAGCTCATTGTAACTGTAGGGAACCTCTTTGGATGATATCAATAAGCAGAAGATGCTTTCTTTTAGTGATTTGTATTTTGCCCAGAAGTGAAGTAGCAGCCAGTGCAGTAGTTTAAATACAGGTGTGGAATTTTCTCTTTGCTTTCTTCTTGAAACCAATCTGTTTGCTAAATTTTGTGCCAGCTGAAATTTCTGGCCCTGATGCAAATGTTAAGGTTAGAAGCATCCTGAAGCTATATATTGCTCCTTTTGGAGAATAACTTCATTCAGAATAGATTTGTTTCACAGGAAGGTTAAAAAATGTCTTGCAGTTTGAGCACTTTATTTTCTACTTTTTTGTTCTTAAAACTAGAAGATCTGGACAAGTATTAAGAGACTGCAATGGAGAGTATTTACTCCCAGTAAAAATAATTGATTTAGGACATTAATATGTTAAAGAGACTGCTTCTTCCATTCATTGACAGATAAGAAAAAAGAAAAAAGCACGTCCTGAAAAATCTTTTGTTTCTCCCCATTATCATGATTTAGTGGTTAGAATGTAGTACTGCAGGCTAACTCACTGCTCACCCCAGTTCGATTCTGATCAGCTCAGACTGAGCCTTCCATCCTTCCATGGTCTGTAAAATGAGGACCCAGATTGTTGGCAATATGCTGACTCTGTAAAGCACTCTGAAGTGGTATATAAGTGTAATTGCTATTGCTATTATATGCAAATTCTTCAGATACTGGGTAAATTTTTTTCCTCTTCCAAAAGTTCAGAATGAGGAGAGAGAAGGAAGGAGGGAGAGGGAGAGAGAACACAAAATTAAGTGAAGT